ATCTTGGTATGAGAAACTAGATAATTGGTATCGTAAAAGTCGATACCGAGAAGAATGGTCTCGTATCGCGTGGTATCCCTTATATACTAATGCCGAAACTATCAGTATTGCTTCGATACGAAACGATACCGATAATAAAAAGAATTGTATAGTACCGCGTGGTCTCGAATCGAGACTCAATAAAACAAAACAAAAAGTAAAATGTGACGTTGAATTTTTTATTAACAAAATACAAGTACAATTGCTTTTTAGAGATTTAGCTATTATTTTTTTAACAATCTACAAAACTTTGGCTATCGTCCATTCGTTGTTTTTTCCTCTGCTGTACTTTCGCTGGTATTTTAGGATTTTCTTCTATTATTATTTTAATGATTTTGGGGGCATTTACTGTACATTTTACATCTAAACAATGTCAAATGAGTTAAGTAATTTCAAAAATATTATTACCAAAAAAAGACTCTTTGATAGGCGTGAATTTAATTTTTTTTTACAATTAGTTAGTAGGTATCTATATATAAATAAATAAATAAAAAATTCAGAGTGGGCAGACATACAACCTGGCGCTCAATTTATCACACTGTGCTTTAAGCGTACTCCCTAAAAATCAATCGATTTATGAATTATTGCTACATCAAATAAATTAAATTTTTTTTAAATCTTAATAGTTAATAAACAATAATAGCTATAACGTAAAAGCGTAAAAAATAAACTTTATTTTTAATTGAAAATAAACTAAAAAGTTAAATCCTTCGGAAAGACTTGAAGCTAGATCTCCGGACTCACTGGCCATAACTTTATCCGCTTGGCCATGCAAACTACTACAACCGAGAATTAAGTTGTTATATATAAAACTCATTCTGCCTGTAATGAATCTCAGGATTATTTCCCGGCATTGTGAAGATTAGTTTTTTTTAATAACTAAAGTATACTTATGTTTAATTGTTTAAAACTAAAGTTTAGTCGTTGAATGTTGAACGCAGAACGAAAGACCAGGCGAGAATTACGATACCACGAGAGATTTAATTAAAGTAGCAATACCAGATGAGAAATTAAAATATGGATGCGATATCACACAATTAATTAAATTTAAATAACTGTAATGACTATTACGAAATCAATTCCCTTTGAACATTCATTTCTCATACTCGTTTAGAATAATTATTAACGATTACTTTACAAGCAATTTCCTCTGGAGAATTATATGAAAAACTCTCTGTAATTATTGCTTTCCCTTTAATTAATTTTAATTCCGATTAATTCCGCACAGAAAATATTAGTCTGAATGGAATAAAAATTCAATCGAGTTGGAATAATGATATGAGAAACTGCACACAGCAGGGGCGGATCCAGGTCATTGTTCTAAGGGGTAGTCCGACCGAAAAAAAATAAGATTTACGTTTTTTTTTAAATAAAATCACCGTTTTATTTGATCATTTGATAGTTTGCTAGTAAATATATAAAATGATTATATAAATACTTTTTTTTTTTGAGAAAATAATAATAAAATGTTGAATTACAATTTTTTGTATTTTTTTTTTATTTTTTTAATTTTATCAATAATACTTTGAAGTATGACATTTCCTAGGAAGGGGAAGGGTAGTAACCCCGAATACCAACCCTATTTCATTTTTGTCCGCCCCTTACACACATAATTTAATTATTTGTAATAATTTAATATAGAAATAAATGTTAAACAAAATATTTTCTTTCCTTTTAATCACGATAGAAAAAATTGAAAAAAATTTTCAGATCCTTTGTACTGTACAAAACAATACCAATATAAGCGATAACTTTTAGGTTAAAACTACTAGTATCACGTAATCTCGATATCGATACTGTAATGTATCGCACCGAGACCAAACGATCCCAACATAACCGATACTTTCGATACTAGTATCGTGTGATCTCGATGTCGATAATGTAAAGTACCGCATCTAGACCAAACGATACTAAACAATACCAACATTAACGATACTTTCGATACCAGCATCGCGTGATTTAAAATGCTTTTAAAGAATAAAATGCTTTTAACGAATAAAATGCTTTTTAATGAATTAAATGATTACTATAGCATAAAACAAATAAATAAAAAGTGTAGTAAAAGGGAAATTAAGCAAAGATAGAAATAGAAAGCCGTTGTGAATAAATTTATAAATGAAGAAAGGTTTAAAAGTTGAACCTGTAATTTCGAAAAAGGCACAAGTCCATTTAAAGATGCTTTTAAAGAATAAAATGCTTTTAACGAATAAAATGCTTTTTAATGAATTAAATGATTACTATAGCATAAAACAAATAAATAAAAAGTGTACTAAAAGGGAAATTAAGCAAAGATAGAAATAGAAAGCCGTTGTGAATAAATTTATAAATGAAGAAAGGTTTAAAAGTTGAACCTGTAATTTCGAAAAGGGCACAAGTCCATTTAATAAAACTTTTTAAAATCAACAAAAACATGATTTTTATTAAAACAATGTCTATGCTGGTAAAGAAACTAAACATAGAAGTAGATAATTACAGAACGTATATAACTTATATAACTTTTATTTTTTATAAAAAAAAAAACATAAATCATACAGAAATTTTTAATTTAAATTCATAAACTAACTGTTAAA